GTTGAATGACATTTCAGCTTGTACTTTATAAAGATCGAAGAACTTCCTCTTGGCTAACCTGACCGCCGGAGTCTCCGTCACAGGCTGCGGGACAAGAAAATTCGTATTGAGAGACGAGCGAGCGCTAGGCTTAGATTTGTATGCCCATCCTCTTGGGCCCCACACCAGGTTCCTGGAATTCCCCTCTTCTTCTTCTTCAGAGGAGTCTGCGCCTCCTTCATCTCCCTCCTCGGAAGCTTCACCATTTTCCTCGGAGCTCTCCTCGCCTCCTTCATCTTCCTCAGAGCTCTCCTCGCCTCCATCTTCCTCAGAGCTCTCCTCGCCCCATTCATCTTCCTCAGAGCTCTCCTCGCCCCATTCATCTTCCTCAGAGCTCTCCTCGCCCCATTCATTTTCCTCAGAGCTCTCCTCGCTGGAGGAAGAATCATCGCCCTCATTAGAGTCTTGTTCGTATTCGTCAATCTCCTCGCTATTCTCCTCCTCGAATCCGGACTCATGGTCTTCGTAGTACCCCTCTCCCTCTGAATAACCGGACTCGTGCTCGTGGTCCTCTTCCTCCTCTGAGTATCCGTACAAGTCGTAGGACTGCTGCTGTTCATCGTCATCATCATCATCTTCTCTTCTTCCGATCAGGGAAGACTGCGTGTAGCTCAGAGTGTCGTATTGCTTCGTGTCAGCTGGCTTGGCGACCAACCTAAGGAAAATAGACGAAACCTAAATTAGATGGTTTAAGATTTAAGCACGCACAGAATAATTTCTCGGATATCGGCACCTTCGTTATCAGTCTCTGTAGTTCCTCTGAAGGAGGAACTACAGAGACTGATAAAGGAGGTAAGAGAACTGTACGTTGGAAGCGAGCCAAAGGACGAGATGACTAAGATACGTTTGGAAGCCTCACATGCAGGAGATAACGCTCATGCTGCTAGCAGGGCTACGCATTATAGGCATCAGAAGCAGCAGCAGCAGCACCACAATCAACATGTGTCTGGTGTACGAAATATATAAATTAAACGGACGTGGTTTTGTGCTAGGCAGAGTTCAACCTCAGCGTGCCTATATGATATTAAACTTAGTTTCCAGAATATATAAAGTTTACACGGATAGGTTCGTGTTCCAGGTAAAGGAGGACCTGCCACACACTAGTTGTAATGGGTATAAGTTATTGTGGTTGCTGGACCGCACACCATTCCTTTCTTGTCTGGCGTTCGTAGCTAATATGTAGCTAAAACTGAGGTTATGAATAAACCTCAGGCTGACAAACGCCTCTGTATTGATCTGTACGTAGTACATGTATGTAAAATGTGAAACTTTAATTGTATACATTACTGCGGAACGAAACATTGTCCTTGCATATATATATATATATATATATATATATATATATATATATATATATATATATATATATATATATATATATTATATTCAGTGACTGTAACCAGTGTGGTATGACCAGAATGTGACCTATAGACACTAAGACATTTTTGTGATAAAAAAGGCGTATCAGTAACAATATAGTAGAGGGTAATACACAGACATTTGTCCAGGTTAACTACAATTTAGTAATTATGTATATTATTGGGTAGCTCATTATTATGACTTTTATATTTCTCTAATCTTGTATACAAAATGCAAATTCAGCTGATATAATAAAATCGTATATTATTTTTATTCACTGCAAGAATGACTACAGTAAAATTTGATATTAGTGGTGTGCGTATAGGGACCTGCCCACTTGTTTAGTTGAGCGACCAGTGTATTTAACAAATCGCCAAAATTGTGGATGGTTTCCTCTAGCAAAATGTAACCTGGTGACTGGGCTTTCCAGACGCTCTTCCAGGTTCATATTTTTAATGGTAAGAATTTACAGTAAGAGTCAGGTATCAGCAATATTATTATGACCTTCATATAGGTCTGCCATTGTTCATGGTATTGTGGTCTTCCTTGCAATGGCACAGGTATAAATTTTATAATCATTTTCCATACGTCCCAGCCACGCCTGGTGTTCTGAGGCGGCTGGTAATGACTGCACGCTTCAACCTGGCGGCGAAACACATGACGCTGTACAAGAAATTGACCATACGTTCAGCTGATGGGATCGTGGGAGGCCAGGCTGCGAGAAGAGCGTTTCTTCCTATAAGCGAACGGAGGATCGACCCTCCACAATTTCTTGCGTAGTTTAAATATAATAATAATAATAATAATAATAATAATAATAATAATAATAATAATAATTTAAGAGGCTATATTCTTCACTAATTATTAATTAACAAATGAAAAAGTGGTAAATGTAATACGAACAAATGAAATATGTTAGAAAACACCGCCTCTGTTATTGATGATTCATTAGAGGCTATTATTTGCTGGGCTGCTCTCACTGTTGCTCCAGGCTCAGACATTTATTATGAAGTTAGTGGTGTGTCAAAATAAAGTTTTAATTATAGTTGGCGTGATCTGCGCTCAACACAGTTAAGTTATTAAAAACAAGGGCTAAAGAAAAGATTGGATATAAACGCATATTTTTTTACAATTGTGGATAGAGAGATACTTTAAAAATAAATGAATAAAAAGGTACAATACCATAACTGGAATAATACACTCATAACCCGTATATAAGTGAGCGAAACTTATGACGAGGTTTCGGTCCTACTTGGACCATTAAGTAGTACTAGTACTTTAAAAATTGCTGTACACCTGTGTCTGCACTTCATTACCTGGAAGATTGATGGCAGGACTAGTTCTGTTGGAATATGTGCTTAATGTACTGAATGAATAACAAACCACTTCAGTCTCGTCAAACCTCTTTATAATTACTTCAACACTAGTGTTGAATCGCCTCCAGAATTATTATACAAAAATCCTCATGTACCTGACAGATTGAAGTGGGATTAAAACAAATCACTTTACGGGTGGGGTTTGAACTCATTGCGAGTGAGTCGTAAAACTCCACGAGAGTGTTTGCAATTGTGTTATTACGATTTCGTGAGTCAAGAAGGAGTTATTCAATAAATTGTATGTATGACACAAAGTTCCTGAGTAGGCTATGACTGCATCATGACCAAGTATCATTTTACAAGGCGAATGGGAAACTGATGTTATATCTATTTTTGCCCATAGGCACTGAATCCTGCAGATGACTTTGTTGCTGCTTCTGACTTGTTGCTTCAGCTGACTTACTGTTCCACCTGACTTACTTTCGAACTTTCAGCACTTCACCTTAATGCTGCAATACACAAATAACTCCTCGTCTCCTTTCGGTCCGAGAGGAGAAGTGGAGGCTGTATACATAGGCCAGCAGACAGAGACGGGACAAGACAGGTAGAAGGAAAGGAAGTAAAGAGGTAGTAGTAGTAGTAGTAGTAGTAATAGTAGTAATATTAGTAGCAGTAGTAGTATTAACATTTAACACTTGCAGTCAGACGCAAAGTAAGACAAACTAAGACAAGCTCGCATTCTAGGATTTTAAGAAAACATTTTCGATATTATTTCAGACTAAAAGAATTTAAAAATTCAAAGAGTTTTTTTTTTATATCTCGTCATTATTTTGCAAATATGTTGACCTTGAGCTTCCGTGGTGTTTATTTCTGGTAGAAGATGAGAGCATGAAAACACGGGTATTGCCAGGCATGTCTCTCTCCTGGCAACTAGAGTATAAGAACTATTACACATAAACCCCACACACACACGCATGAGTTTAATATTAATTTAATTTAATCACATGAGATCATTGATTTGAGAAACTTGTCCCGCAGATCGTTTCCAGCGAAATGTCTAGACCAAGAGGCTTCTCCGAGGGTCTCCAGTACGACAACTGTAAGACCTTCTCGAGCAAGACGTCTCTAGGAGCGTCACGAGCAAGATATATTGAGGAAGACATTTCGAACAAGACGTTTCTAAAAGAATCTCGAACAAAATATTTCTCAACGCAGAGCGCCTTAAAAAAAAAAGACGTTTCTCGGAATTTCTCACACGAAACATCTAACATCGAGCAAGACGTCTCTCAGCTTCTTGAGCAAGACGTCACTCAGAGCGTCTCGAGCAGCTTCCTCATGGCACTAAGCCAACACGGGAATAATGAGGATATTCGCAAGACCCTAATGAGCAGCCGGATGAGGATATTGAGAGGAATACGAAGGGAAGAACCTATTTCTGAAGGTTTTATTCAGGACCTGAAGCACCGCTCTAGATGTGTACGTATCTATGCAACAAATACTCGCAAGAAAAGAATGATAAACGCTCAGGGTAAAACGCTGAGTGCTTTTCCTCGGTCACCTCGTTGCCAAAAAACAGAGGCCTCTTTTTTACGAGGGAAACGGGAGAAATATGTAAGTTTCTATAGGTTTATGTAGCCTAACCTAAATTTTGGGACATGTAGGTTCAGCACAACGTCTAAAAAAGAGTTAGTGCTATGCGAGTGGCTTGATTTATGACGAAGACAAGTTCTCTTTTGATTTCGGATAGATTTAGAACTGCTCGCTTCTCTGTTTGCTTCTTTCGTCTCTGCATCTTTGACTGAAAGGCTAGCTCATTATATTCATTCACTTATTTTCTTCTTCTTCTGCTTATGATGTTCTCTGCCTCCCAATACTTCTTCATCTTATTCATTGATTTTCCTTCCAGATCCGTTCTGAAATCTAGTTTCTCCCATTCCCCACCTGCTATTCTTCCTTTAACGTTTACTTCCACAAGATATTCGAAATTCAGTGCCATTTGATCGCTAGCACCCAAAGGCCTTTTATATTTTCTTTCACCCATATCAGATACACTTTCAGTGTATCTGATATAGGTGTATCTCCTCTATCACTCGCTTTGTCCTTGACATGCTGACACAGTTTTCTATCACCATTCCGCCTCATCTTAATCTTTCACATTTCTGGTCGTCTATGTGATATCCAGTTTTAAAAGTCAGTTCCTATTTAGCTGAAATCTCCAATGATTATTAGCTTTGCTCTAGCCACATGGGCTCGTCTTGCTGCTTCCACTATGTTGAAAATCATTGCTTTCTTGATCTACTATTTGGTGGTGGGTTGTAGCCTAATTTCACAACTTCTTTGAGTCTCTCAGTCTTGCTTGTGTTTTCTGCGTAATCATTCGACTCATTTCTGTTTACCATTTTGATCTCTTCAAAACTGTACAAGTTTTTTATTAGCAGTGGAACTCCCTCCCTCCCCCTCACCAGTTTCTTCTTTCTTTCCTCATTACTTCATATACTGCTGGGAATATCACATATGTTATCATTTCAATCAGTTTTATTTCTGTGAAAGCTATGATGACTGGTGTTGCCTCTGTTATCCATCCTTTTAATTCATCTTTCTTATTGTATAATCTGATTTGTTTTGGCCCTTTATAATCATTTATAAAGAGGAGAGAGGCGATGTTAGTATTGGTGAATTGTTACAAAGGGAAGGGCCATAAAACTGAAGATCAGTAGCTAGGGAAAGGAATTGGAAGATCATGCTAAGAGATGGGCATGGGGTGAGCCTTGAGAGATATTTATATGCTGGGTATTTCCTTCTATTACCATCCCCTCTGCCTCTCTTTCCTGTAATTGATGACTTCTTATGTGTTCCCTCAGTTGTTCCCTCTTCATTTCGGTTCTCTTTTCACAATTGCAACTTTCATTATTTGCACGTGCTCTGTATATCGTTATTTTGTATTGGTATGAATGTTGAGTGACTTACACGGTCAAAATGCTCTGTAAATATCACAGTTAACACTTCTACTCGATTTCCTAACATATCACATATGCAGCTGTGCCTTCGTGCGCCTGCCTCCCTCCTCTCAGACAGCCTATCCTTGTTAATCCTATTAAATCCTCTCTGTATTCTGTAGATTATATTCATGTCTTCTTCGGTCCTTCTGCCATCTAGTGTCATCAGGTTTAACTCCTCTAGTCTCTCCTCATATCTCATCCCTTTCGCTCTGGGACTAGTCTCGTTGCGAACCTCTGCACTTTCACCAGTTTCATGACTTGCTTGATCAGGTGTAGTTTCCATACTGAAGGTGTGTGTGTGTGTGTGTGTGTGTGTGTGTGTGTGAGAGAGAGAGAGAGAGAGAGAGAGAGAGAGAGGTGTGTGTGTGTGTGAGAGAGAGAGAGAGAGAGAGAGAGAGAGTGTGTGTGTGTGTGTGTGTGTGTGTGTGTGTGTGTGTGTGTGTGTGTGTGTGTGTGTGTGTGTGTGTGTGTGTGTGTGTGTGTATGTGTGTATGTGTGTGTGTGTGTGTGTGTGTGTGTGTGTGTGTGTGTGTGTGTGTATGTGTGTGTGTGTGTGTGTGTGTGTGTGTGTGTGTGTGTGTGTGTGTGTGTGTGTGTGTGTATGTGTGTGTGGAATGCTATTAGCATGTTGCATTTTATTTGACGTATGTCACACGCCCATATAGGCATGCCCTCCCGATCAGCGAACCAGCAGTTCAAGAGTATAGCAGGATGTGCCCCACTGTAATGCTAAACTGCCTGGTTCAACCCATCAGTCACTAGAAAGCTCGCCAAAGTTGTGAAGAAATGTCTGGGACTCGTGAAACAACATTGGCAGACCTACCTCAAGTCTGGTCGTTCACGGATCTCACCATGTCTCTTATTTGTAAACTTGTCATACTGTATTTAAATATTTTACAAATATTATGTACATTTGGGGAAGGAAAATAATGTAAGTATTTACACTCTGCTGTCTTCTGCTCGGTCCTATATTGCTAATTGATTATTGTACTGAGAGTTACGAAACAGATGTGCAGGCCACAAAACTACACCTGTGTTCATAATAGTGTGTGAGCACATGTGTAATGTAATTATCTATTTGTTAACATTCGCTGAAATATTTTGAGCTAGCTTGCTGCACCTGTTATTCTATTTCTGTCTTTTGGCTTGTAATACCAGTGTTACTCCCTTCTATTTAAATTTTGCTCTCTTACACGCCTTTTACCTCTTTTTTCATGTCATCCTTATTTTTTTAATAATTCCAGATCCATATCTTCTTATTTCCATATAATCAGACTCTTTTAATTTTCAGCGTTTATTGTACTGAAAATTCCATTTATTGTGTGTCATTTTTCAAAGTTTTCTTTTCCGTATTTAAATTTTCTACCAGCCTTTCCTGCCTCACCTGATTTTCTTTATTTTTGTCAGCCTGTCCATCTTTCCACTAAATTTCCTTTCTTTTGGTGTAAAGTTATTGCTCTGTTTTGATCTAGTATTCTCTGCTATATTGCAAACAATGGACTAGCATTTTTTCTCGAAAATTTATGCAACTTTCTTTTTACCCAAGTAATCTTCCATGAGAGTTTTTCGTTTGCATATCTGGGGACAACATTCAGGTATACACAGCTCTACCCTCTCATTAGAAACAGGTAATGGCGTCGTTTCTCCGAGAATATACTCGTATATATACTCAGAGGCGTTTGTCTCTCAGTGTATATATGCTCAGAGTTTAATTTAGTCTTTATTTTAAGGAACGAAGTGATCTTGGAGGGCGATGAACAAGCAATCTTAATGACCCTTATATAGTGGCTAAGCTTTCAACCCCAGTAATTAACCAACTATGCATTTGTTCTCCGAGCAGTGATGGCTGATGTCATTTCACAGTGTGTGTGTGTGTGTGTTTAAGTCGGATACACTCACTTGGCTTGCTTGTTATAAAGTCTGAAGAACTCCTCACGGGCCTTCCTCACTTCTGGGGTGTTCTCGACAGGATGGTATTGCATGTATTCACCTGCCTGTATGTCACCAGCTGTAGAAATGCGTAAATAATTAGATAAACATTATTATTTGTGAAGAAGTAGAATAGTCTGAAATCATAGGATACAGCAAATTACATAACAAAAATATCTGAAAGAAAATTGAAGACCTTATTAAGAGTACATGGGAATTATGGGGTTTTAAGAGTACATAGGAATTATGGGGTTTTAATAAGTATTAACCAAAGCTCTCCTTCTTCCTCCCCTTTCTCATATTTGGTTTCTCGTCACAATCGCTGTAGAAAGTAATCTTATTGTGAGGAATTGAGACTATCCTCACCTTCCTTTTATCAGAGCTTATTGCCGACCATTACCCAGAGGAGCTTAATGCTTCCCCATGAGTACAATAATAATCCTCGTCAGAATAATGTAATAATTGGTTTTCCCTAAATCCCCCCTGCCTCTCTACTACACCTCCCTTCCACTGCATGTCTCTCCTCTCCACCTGTCTGACCATCATAAAAAAAACATCGCCTTTCTCCCTATCACATCCTGCGCTTGCCTTCCAAGTTGAGCTAAGTTGTCTGAGCTTCTAGTTTACTGTGCATCTCATGCTCATTCTGAAAGCGGATGTATAAAATATAAGTATTACAGATATCACAAAGGGTTTTAATCAGACTAGGCATATTTACATCTTTTCAATATTACATTCATTTTAAATATTACAATTACTTTACATAGTTAATCTATAGATTTCGACACGGAGATACAATCTCAAGAAAATTCCAGTATTTTATTACCACTTAGAATCATTGGTCATTACCCTAACACATGTCCTGGCCTCATCCTCTCCGTCACATGTTCTCGGTTCTTCCTCTCTATTACACGTCCTTGCCTCTTTCTTCCCTCTAGTCATATTTTTATCCCTCATTTCCAGTCACATTATCTTTGCTTCCTCTACATTCGGGTGTCGAGTAGCTCACTTGTGAGAGTCTTTGACTCACAATCGCAATGCCCAGGGTCCGATTTCCTGACACAGAGAAACACGTGGAGAAATTTTCCTTACACTCCAGTTACCCTTGTCCATCAAACAGCTAAAACAGCACTTGAGTGTCAGCTGGGGTTACATTCAGGAAAATAAATGTAATTGAAAACTCCAGTCCCGCTGGAATGTCAAACCTTGCGTAAAGAAATTCTTTAGTCTGTGTTTAACAAACACAAGCACCTGCTGGAAATATTCAGGCGTTGGGCAAAAGGTATCCGTGTACCTAACAAAATATCTTTGCATTCCTTAATTTTACCAGCCTACCTGCTTCCTTTTATATGTTTTCTCACGGTTCTTGTTCACCCTCCCACTACTCTCTCTCTCTCCTTCTCGCTAATATTTGTATCTGGCTCTCCTGTTCACTTCCTTGTTCTCATTCATCCTCTGTTTTTTGTTGTTTTTCCATGCTCTTGTCCTTTTTTTCTCCTTGTGTCTTCGTTCGTATCACGAGCTCTCTTTACTTTTGCCACTTCTCTCGTCTTCAGAACTTGAAGTTCTCCTCTGCCTCCTATCACTACCTCTTTTTTTTTTTGTTTTTGTTTTTTTACACAGGGTTTGACAAGGTTAAGGATCCCTAGCTTTATTGTCAAGCTATTTACAGGTTAAGGATTCTTAACTTTATTGACAAGCTAAGAGCTGTTACCTACATCAGCTCATTTGAAAGCCTTTTTATTGTTATGAGACATACAAGTAGGGATTAGGATGAAGTTGAAGCCATCAGTGGGCCAGCATTTTCATTTGATCAACTGACTTTATCTCGTTGACGTCATAATGCTGTACGAATGTGTTCCATACTCGAGTCATCCTGGGTATATATGATCTCAGATGGAGTGATGTTCTGGAGAAGGGTACAGCCAGAGTGAAGTTGCTGCGTGCTGCCCGTCATGTGGCATAAAAGCTTGCTTCACGCTGTCCTCGGAGTGGATCAAAGTGTGGTACTTTGACAATATTGGCCTTGTACATAACAGTAAGGCCACCTACATCCCTCCTGTGTTGAAGGCTCTGCTGAAATGACAGATCTATCCAGGATTGGTCCAGGCGAGAGATGAGACGTCTTGCTTTGTTCTCTACTCTGTCAAGCAGTCGCAGAAGAGGGGGGGGGCAGGCAAACCAAGAAAGTGGAGCATACTCAAGGTGTGAGCGTACTTGTGCCTCGTACAGAATCTTGCAACCCCTACTGTCAAGCAAATGCGAGATACGGCGAAGTGCTGTAAGCTTCCTGGCTGCCTTGTTTGCAAGATTTATAACGTGGTTTTTCATGGTCAGTTTGGAGTCAAATTTCACCCAAAGGATATCAACTTCTTTACCAGGTGCCAACAGTAGTAAGGATCCTTACTACTGCACCAGCATTACCATCATGGTGCCTAGAGCCCATCATCATTTGGGCTTTCTCAGGTACAAATGCTACTTGCCATCTATTTCCCCAAGCTGATATAGCTCTTAGCTGGTGATTGATGTAGCTTAGAGCAGCTGGCATTTCTTCTCTTGGATAAATGAATGTCAGTGTACAGTCGTCTGCATATGCATGGGATTCTGGGATGAGATGAAGATCATTGAAGTAGACATTCCATAACAATAGTCCCAGCACGCTTCCTTGTGGAACACTTGCCCCAGTAGGATGTCTTGCTGATTCCGTTCCATTGAGAACTACCCTTAGAGATCTACCATGAAGGTAGTCACTGAGGAGACATGGCGTAGAGCCTGCAATTCCCAGAGCTTGCAGTTTTGCTAAGAGGCCCTGGTGCCACACCCGGTCGAAAGCACCAGCAATGTCCAGTGCTACTACTCAGCTGACTTTGGATTCATCCAGTGGCTGGTGCCACTTAGTGGAGAGGTTTAACAACAGATCAGCAGCGGAGTAACCATTCCTGAAGCCATATTGACGGTCACAAAGTAGTGTGTGGTAGTCAAAAAACTCTGTCATTTGTATTGAGATTATTGTCTCAAGGATCTTACCAGTGATTGACAGGAGTGACACTGGTCTGTAGTTGCTGATTTCTGTTCTGCTCTTCTTTTTGTGAACAGGGACTACATTTCCCTCTTTCCACAGAGATGGCCATTTACACTGTACTAGGCAGTGCTGAAAGATGCGAGTTAGAGGTGCTGCTAGCTGGTCTGCACATCTTCTCAGCAATCTTGGGCTCAACTTGTCTGGGCCCACAGCCTTTTCTTGGTCAAGCGATTTAAGAAGGAAATGTACCTCCTCCTGCCTTATTGTCACAACTGACAGTTTTGACACAGTTATTGCAGCTAGCCAAGGAGGGTCCCTTGCTGGAGCAGGAACTTGCATTTTGGTAGCAAAGTGTTCGGCAAAGAGGTCCGCCTTCTCTTGACTACTAGTAGAGGTGGTCCCATCCTGTCGATTTAAAGGTGGAATGAGTTCATCAGGCAGATAACCTTGTCTGTCCTTGACCAGGGACCACCAGGTTTTGGAGCCTACCCTACCTGATGCTAGCTTTCTTTTTGTGTCCACCTCCCATTTAGCAATGGCCCACTTTTGAACGTCACCCATTTGCTCTTACTCACATTTTCTTTTAAGTTACCAGAACACATGACCTAATTCTTTTCCCTTCTTACTCCCGTTGTTCTGCTTCCCATCTTCATTCCCCCCCCTTCTCTTTCTCTCTCCTCATCCCTCCAACAGCACACTTCGGATATATCTAATTTACTCTTGGAGGGGTAGCCTCCCTTACCTCGCCGTCTCTCACCTTCCATCCCCTCCATCCCTCCCCTGGGTGGACTGTGGTCACCTCTGGTGTCAGCAGGAGTGACACCTCAGCTTTAGTCATTAATTATTGTGAGGTGGATAACTGCTATATCCAACTACCCAGCCCTCTGCTCCTGCCTCTGTGACGCACTCTCTCCCTCTCTCCCTACTTTCTCCCTCTCACTACTTTCTCTATTCCTCTCTCTCTCTCTCTCTCATTCCCAAGGTAGGGAAAATATCTCTGGTAACCTCATTCGTAAGGATTCCATTAAAAAAAGAAGCGCTATCCATCATTTTATCAGGAACTTCTTTCATGGATCAGATTTTTCTTTATTTAGCAGGAACGTAAGACAGAATTCCTTGCTCTCCCTTTCACAGGAAAATATTTTACAATGGAAAGTTTCGAGTTTCCCTGATAACAGTATTTTAATTACAACAAATCTCTTTAAAGTATGGTAAACACATTCTACAGATCAAGTCTTTATTTTGAGCTTTATCAAGTCATGACTTGAAGAAGCTCAACTCTAACTTTCTAAGAGGAGTGAGTTGATCCTACACCGGCAGTCTCCCACCATCACTGTATCACTGTCTTGCTAGAGGCGTGCCCACATCACTGCTCAGATGGCTCTCCGAGTTGCAGTATCCACACCATCCTTAAGAGCGAGCACTGTACTTCCCACCTCCAGGACACGTACATGTATCGTATTCGTTACCAATCACACATAATTAAGCAGCAGTTATTACAGTAATACACTTCTTACACACAACTCACCCGTACGTGATAATAAACATTCCGTGACGCCACTTACCTCTCCTATACGTGGCATCTGCCCTAGCCTGTGTCGTTCCCAGTTGCACCTTGCGCCGCTGCGCGGCTTGCGGCGTACCTTGCGGCGAGGACGGGGCCACGGCGTTACTTCGGCTTGAGCTAGACCTATGTCTGGTGGAGTAGGAGTAGGAGGCACTGGGGACAGTCTTGTACACCCTGTAGTACGACTGTGCACTCCTTGGCGTCGCCACCACCATCACAAGCGGTCCATTCTCCAGCACAAGCAGCGCTGCGCTCACCACCACCACCAACTTGTGGAAGAAGAGGGGTGAGAAAGAAATCAGTGAGGGGTGAGGGAAAAGCCAATGAGTTGGTTGAGAATTGAGGAAGGAGTCTTCGAGCGGTGAGGAGCGTGTAAGTACTGAGAAGAGGAGAGGAAGAGCTATGTTATGTAGAGCTTGTGGGAGATTATACTGAGTTGCGAGGTAGTTACCACGCACACATATAGGATATGAGGAAGGCAGGGATCAGTCAAGGATATAATGGAACCTGTATTAAGGATACTCTGTATCCTTACAGGGAACAGAGAGAAAGGAGGAGGATACTGAGTACTGAGTAAGGAGACAGAGGGAAAGAGAAGGATGATGTCCGGAGTTTAATGGGGTCGTCAGGGAAAGTAGGATGAAAGACATTGAAGACAGTGAAGCAGAGAGAGTACACCATCATGGGAAACACAGTAAGGGCTAGGAAGAACCCAGAACGAGGAGAGAGACGTGGGGAAAAGAGGAAGCATTAGGAAGACAAGTACACGGAACGGAATGGGGAATAGAGAACGGGCAAGAACGCCATGACAGACGGAAAGAGGAAAATGATTTTATTCCTGGTGAAAATAAATTTATTACCTCAGCAACAACATGCAAATTACATTCGTACGAGAAATCCTATAGGATTAAACAAGTACCTATTTATAGCATCCTATGGAACTTGGCCTCCCATACTAGACGTCCTATGTGATTCAGCCTCTCCTATACAATGTCCTATGGAATTAAACTCTCCTATACAATGTCTTATGGAATTAAACTCTCCTATACAATGGCCTATGGAATTAAACACTCTCCTATATACAATGTCCTAATGCACACATTTTTTCTTATCAAAAGATAACAGAAAGTACAACCACAATGCTAATACATATTAATGAAATATCTCTATCCTCATCTCTATCACATAATATACAATAAGGGCGAGAAATGACAGGAAATATATCTGCCACCAGTAATGATGGAGAAGGAGCTACGTGTATGTGTGTGTGTGTGTGTGTGTGTGTGTGTGTGTGTGTATGTGTGTGTGTGTGTGTGTGTGTGTGTGTGTGTGTGTGTGTGTGTGTGTGTGTGTGTGTGTGTATGTGAAGGCAGAAACGACCTTACCAAGGACGTCATATGGTACGTGGATGAAAAACCGAGGTTGTCGACCTTTTGGTGTAGGCAACATAGTCCGGACTATGCTTCTGCAGCAGACAGACACGTAAATGAACATCTGTTCCACCTTTTGCCTTACAAAAAGAATTTTATAGTGGAACTACCTAATTACCACGTTGCTTTGTATATAAATTGTGAGGATTATTTTTGTATTGTTGAACGGTTTGGAAATAAATTCACTTTTTTTTTTGCCTTTAGAAAAGGAGAGAGAGAGAGAGAGAGAGAGAGAGAGAGAGAGAGAGAGAGAGGAAGAGAGAGCCCAATATTGCTGAGAAGATGTGCAGACCAGCTAGCAGCACCTCTAACTCGCATCTTTCAGCACTGCCTAGTACAGTGTAAATGGCCCTCTCTGTGGAAAGAGGCAAATGTAGTCCCTGTTTACAAAAAGAAGAGCAGAACAGAAATTAGCAACTACAGACCAGTGTCACTCCTGTCAATCACTGGTAAGATCCTTGAGACAATAATCTCAAGACAAATGACAGAGTTTTTTGACTACCACTCACTACTTTGTGACCGTCAATATGGCTTCAGGAAAGGTTACTCCTCTGTTGATCTGTTGTTAAACCTCTCCAATAAGTGGCACCAGTCACTGGATGAATCCAAAGTCAGTTGTGTGGTAGCACTGGACATTGCTAGTGCTTTCGACCGGGTGTGGCACCAGGGCCTCTTAGCAAAACTTCGAGCACTGGGAATTGCAGGCTCTACGCTATGTCTCCTCAGTGATTACCTTCATGGTAGATCTCTAAGAGTAGTTCTCAATGGAACGGAATCAGCAAGACATCTTATTGGGGCAATGTTCCACAAAGAAGCGTGCTGGGACCATTGTTATGGCATGTCTACTTCAATGACCTTCTTCATCTCATCCCAGAATCCCATGCATATGCAGACGATTGTAAACTGACATTCATTTATCCAAGAGAAGAAATGCCAGCTGCTCTAAGCTACATCAATCACCAGCTAAGAGCTATATCAGCTTGGAGAAATAGATGGCAAGTAACATTTGTACCCGAGAAAACGCAAATGATGATCGTCTCTAGGCACCATGATGGTAATGCTGGTGCAGTAGTAAGGATGAATGGGAGGGTGTTGGCACCTGGAGAAGAAGTTGATATCCTTTGGGTGAAATTTGATTCCAAACTGACAATGAAGAACCATGTTGTAAATCTTGCAAACAAGGCAGCCAGGAAGCTTACAGCACTTCGCCGTATCTCGAATCTGCTTGACAGTAGGGGTTGCAAGATTCTGTACTAGGCACAAGTACGCTCACACCTTGAGTATGCTCCACTTTCTTGGTTTGCCTGCCCCCCTCTCATCTGCGACTGCTTGACAGAGTAGAGAACAAAGCAAGACGTCTCTTCTCTCGCCTGGACCCATCCTGGATAGATCTGTCATTTCAGCAGAGCCTTCAACACAGGAGGGATGTGGGTGGCCTTACTGTTCTGTACAAGGCCAATATTGTCAAAGTACCACACTTGGATCCACTTCGAGGACAGCGTGAAACAAGCTTTTATGTCGCAAGACGGGCAGAAAGCAGCAACTTCACTCTGGCTGTACCCTTCTCCAGAACACTCCATCTGAGATCATATATACCCAGTATGACTCGAGTGTGGAAGAAATTCGTACAGGATAATGATGTCAACGAGATAAAGTCAGCTGATCAAATGAAAATGCTGGCCCACTGATGGCTCCAACTTCATCCTAACACCTACTTGTATGTCTCATAACAATAAAAAGGCACAGAGACAAAGAGTGAGCACTGGGGAGATAAAGGAAGGTATTAGGATAGGTAAGGGAAAGAAATGTAAGCACAGAGGAAAGGATAGTGAATGAGTATAGAGGTGTAGGAAAAAGGAAGGTCACAGAGGAACGGGTACAGGGAAAGGAAGAGAATGGTGGGGTACTTGCTGGTTAAGAGAGGGCTCGACACAAGGGATCATGAAAATGAAGGAAGCAGACAGATTTTTACCAAAGTGGGACAAGTCTATTTCTCAAGGACAACTCAAATATTTTCCCGGGGAGGGAAAGTGGCTAATAAAATGATAAACAACATTTCTGAGCACACTAAACAACTAAACACATACTACATGCACACTCGGCAAATATTGAAGAAAAACATTATCGTCGGCGAACATCAGTTCCCCCTCTAAAATATCGACACGACTTAAGGAACAAAATGGGTTGTGTAATATACTCGCTCATGTGCACAATATTCCGTGCACGTCGACACACACACACACACACACACACACACACACACACAGGGGATCAGGGAATACTTGTCAGGAAGACAGCAGCGAGTCATGGTACGTGGCGAGGTGTCAGAGTGGGCACCTGTGACCAGCGGGGTCCCGCAGGGGTCAGTCCTAGGACCAGTGCTGTTTCTGGTATTTGTGAACGACATGACGGAAGGAATAGACTCTGAGGTGTCCCTGTTTGCAGATGACGTGAAGTTGATGAGAAGAATTCACTCGATCGAAGACCAGGCAGAACTACAAAGGGATCTGGACAGGCTGCAGACCTGGTCCAGCAATTGGCTCCTGGAGTTCAATCCCACCAAGTGCAAAGTCATGAAGATTGGGGAAGGGCAAAGAAGGCCGCAGACGGAGTACAGTCTAGGGGGTCAGAGACTACAAACCTCACTCAAGGAAAAAGATCTTGGGGTGAATATAACACCAGGCACATCTCCTGAAGCGCACATCAACCAAATAACTGCTGCAGCATATGGGCGCCTAGCAAACCTCAGAACAGCATTCCGACATCTTAATAAGGAATCATTCAGGACCCTGTACACCGTGTACGTTAGGCCCATATTGGAGTATGCGGCACCAGTTTGGAACCCACACCTAGCCAAGCACGTGAAGAAACTAGAGAAAGTGCAAAGGTTTGCAACAAGACTAGTCCCAGAGCTAAGAGGTATGTCCTACGAGGAGAGGTTAAGGGAAATCAACCTGACGACACTGGAGGACAGGAGAGATAGGGGGGACATGATAACGACATACAAAATACTGAGAGGAATTGACAAGGTGGACAAAGACAGGATGTTCCAGAGATTGGACACAGTAACAAGGGGGCACAGTTGGAAGCTGAAGACACAGATGAATCACAGGGATGTTAGGAAGTATTTCTTCAGCCACAGAGTAGTCAGTAAGTGGAATAGTTTGGGAAACGATGTAGTGGAGGCAGGATCCATACATAGCTTTAAGCAGAGGTATGATAAAGCTCACGGCTCAGGGAGAGTGACCTAGTAGCGATCAGTGAAGAGGCGGGGCCAGGAGCTCGGACTCGACCCCCGCAACCTCAACTAGGTGAGTACAACTAGGTGAGTACACACACACAGTGTCATAATATTAATCCTTTCCTATCCGCTTATGTTCGTCTGTATATATAATATCATTTCAAATGGTGTTTCCTGTTTTTCTTCATCACTCCATTGCTCTTTGCTTTATTAAATTTAAAGTCAATATATTTCGCGAGGGGATCATTAAGGCTGCATGTCACCTGTATCTTATCAGTCAGAGATAATCTATTTCGTAATTCAGGAATTAACCTAAACTCTCAACATATATACACTGAGAGAAGTACATCCCTCGGTCTGTATATTGTTACCTTCACTCGATTAAAGGCAAAATATTTCACTTCGTTGCACTGAAATAGTTTGCTTGCAATTTTAAAACCATTGTTGCGTGTTTTATTCGACTGAAAAACATTTTTTGAATCACGATTATTTTCTTCCTTCTTGGTTGTAAACAGATGGGTGTCATTTTATGGTTGTTCTTCATGCGGTTAATATGTAAACAGGTGGGTGTCACCTTATAGTTGTTGTTCATGTGGTT